TTTATTTCTTTTTTAGTATTTTCCTTTTTACTAAGGTATAAATGTTCCATTTCTCTATTTTTGTAATTATAATGTCTCCAGTCTTACTTTTACGTTTTGTTATACTCCTATAATAAAAAAGCTTTAGATTCTCTCTCATTTTGCAATTATTTTGAACGGCATCGTCGAGTTTAGTCCAGTCGCTGGCCTAGGCTTCGGCGACAAAATTTAAAGCGGAGCAAAGAATAGGGGCCGCAGCGACTGGACTACGTCGATTTTTCCTGATTTCCGAAAACAAAACTGACGTCATCGTACACCACTCGGAGACCTTTCGTGTTCCGTAGAACAAGGACCATTTCCGGTGTTAAGGGTTCGCCCGAACTGTGACACAAATCCATTCCTGTTTCAACAGATTATTTCCTCAGTCTGTAATATCTCGGAATCAGCATTCATAGAAGTTAGAGAAACTTTGCAGTGACAGAACTGACATTGAAGATGGCATAACTGGTGAAACACTTCGTTGAAGAGATCGCCTATAAAGTATCACCCACATATAATATTTGCCGTGACTGTTTACTATGAAGTGCTAATAAATGGAGTACGTATTGGTATTATTGCTGTTGTTGTGCATGTTTTTCGTTGCACAATCAAAGTCTAMAGGTAAGGCAGCATGAGATATCAGCAATTTGGGTTTCCAGTATTGTAGTGCCTTTCCACACGATAACAAATGAGCAAGCAATTCCCTGAATTCCTGCAGTGCAGTTTAACCACACGCAGGCCTGGGACAGCTTTTGTGTTTACAAATGTTGCTATTTTGAACAATTTTAACAGGTTGTTTATCGAACTTTAAGTGAAAATCACTGAAATTTACAAAGTTTGAAATCAACAACATGTCTGGCACGTGATGTCGAGTTCAATTTGTGTTGTAAATAAACTCGTTATATTAATTCAAATATTTGTTGTATCAAAAGGATATTTGTTGCTTTCAGCTGCTTACGGCAATTAAATACTCAAAGGTCTTTCGTTTTCTAATCAAATCTATTTTATTATTATACAAACACGTAAAAACTTGAGATCTTTCAAGATAACCTTCATTGATTTCTTCGTTGTTTCTTCGTTTGTCGTAATCGTTTGGATTCCTCCTGGTATTACTAGTCTTCGCATTCTTAATCAAAGAACAGACAATTTGTGCTATTATTAACTTTCTATAACTGATGTATACTGGTTCCGGGTCAAAATATAGGATCTTTCGCTTTCAAATGCAGTATTTTATTTGCTCTCCCTGCTTTCCACTTGATTGCTTTTCMAAACATCCTTTTGCATAAAATAACGTAATTCWCAACATTTTATAAACAGTGAAACCTTGTGTATTATGTAGAGAACTTCTCGAGTGTTTTATAGCTTATACGCGACATAAATTACAAAGTTTGAAACAGATGGRAAAAAAWWAAMMAAASMAAAAAAACAAAACAAGAAAACGACAACTTAAAGTATATTAATAATATAAAATTAATAAATTTTTAGTAGTCTTGATTTCACTACGTCACCAAACTGAGAAGCTTATTATGCAATTTAAAAACTGAAAGCAAGAGAAATAACGAAAGAAAAAAGCGCAAAAATCAATCAATTCCTAGGTGTGCTTAATAAATTTTGCTTTATAARTTTAWATAAAGACATCATGCAYTTGGACGTTTCGTTRYGTTGGGGCTTGCGACTTAGGTCATCAGAGATTCCTTGAAATTTCCCAGCACGTAAAGGAAGTTCTTGAGTAAAATTAGTCCCAATTTAGGGCAGCAAGTTAAATTTAGAGCATTCAATAATTTAATTATAGCAAAAGAAAGTTCGATAAGCTCGAAAGTGTGTATTATTAGACGTTTATCGAACATCACTCAAACTTGTGAAAACTGAAATCATAAGAATGGAAGTCCTATTTAGGTGTCTTTTCGTTTCTCTGTTGTGATATCAGTTTCTTGTCTAAAGGAATATTAAACAAGTCAAATGGTTTCACTTTGGTTTATTGTAAGGGTTTTGTGGCCGAAATGTTGGGTGTGTTCCGTCCTCAAATTGTTTACTATTCGAGCGATATGGTACTTGTGCTGATACTCTGCGAACAGAGGTTCTTTTCTCACCYGCCGAGAAGCGAGAGAAAAATAATTTATTTATTTATTATTTATAAATTATTATAAGTTATTTTTCTCTCGCTTCTCGGCGGGTGAGAAAAGAACCTCTGTTCGCAGAGTATTGTGCTGAGGGGGTCGCCTCCCAAGGTCAATATAAAGCTTACAAACAGCAATTGTATCCATCAAACAAA